CCCGGCGCAGCGCCGGGAGAAGGGAGCGACTCCTCTGGCTGCTGCAGGCTCCGAGTCTATTGACCCGCTTTAGGACTCTTTGGAAGAGATGAACTTTTTTTTTTTTTTTCCCTTTCTCCCTTTTTCCAGATCACTGACTCAGCAAATTAGAACAAGAATATAATTTAGCAATACAGCGGTTTTTGAAAGACACGGTCCCCCTCTCCTCATCCCCACCGCCCAAATAGATTCTTTTTTTTCCCCTTCACTATTCATTCCGAGCTGATGCTAATTGAAAAACGTAGAACGGGGCTAAGAAAACGGTGGGTTGGCTCTTTGGGAGGACCAGAGGATGGGCAATGCCCTCGTGCCAGGACACGTGACCCAGCTGACGGCCGGGTGACTTTTTAGCCTTTGCCAGCTCTGGGGATGCGCTCGCCAGCAGGAAGAAGCACGCCGGCACGGCTGGCGGTGGGATCAGCTCCCGGAAAAATCAAACCCAGCTTAAGCACAACACGTGGGGGACCCAGCAGAGGGGTCTTGGCCCAGAGCACCCGTGGGTGCGCAGCAGGAGGCAGGCTCTGCCAGAGCGGCATGCCCACGCGCCAGCCCTGCACCGCATCCCAACGCCACTGGCACCCACGCCACGCCACGCCACGCCACGCCACGCCATGCCGTGCCACCAGCGTATGAACACGGCCCCAGCTGACTTTCAGACCCACGTAACGATCCAGGTCACTGGACCTTTCCTGCACTTCCCCACGCAAGTATCGCACCGCCCCGGCGGATTTGGCAAGGTGGCACCGCCAACCCAACGGCCGCCCAACGGTGGCTTGCAGTGGCCCTCCTCCCAGGCCAAGGGCAACACCCGTGGGTGGCCCTGGTGGGCAGCGACAGCCCGAGTACCACCCCAAACCTCGCTCCAGGGGGGCCGGGCATCCCCGCGCTCAGCAGGGGCAGCAGGGGCAGGGATGCTCCCGGCTCGGCCGGGCGCCGAAGCAGGCACGCCGCCTGCGGGGGCTGCAGCTCATCTGGCCCCGGGAGATCCGGCTGCTGCCTTGTGGTCTCATCCTGACCACCCCAGCCAGACGCTGGCCCAGGGAGAGCCGGCACGGCCATGACCCAGGAGATGCTGCCCGGCACATGCTGCAGTTGCCTGCCAGCCAAACGCAGGGACGGGCGGGGTCCC